CTCTCCACTCTCTTCTCTCCGTTTCTCCGGCTTCTCCAGCGTCGAAAGCAATTTATATTGCGCTAATCACGTGAAATAGATCAAATTTCTTTTGTCGGCTCGTCTCTCGGGGGGCACAACTTAGGGGGATGGGGCGATGATGACAAGAGAGTGGTTCCACTTCGGGTCCAAAGATTCGGAATTGGCGCTTCAAGGAGCTCGAAGTGAGTTTCACTTGTTGTGGCAAAAGTGTTGCCAAGTTGCTCGAGAGGCCGTCAGCCAAGTAGGATAACCATCGGGGGCATTTACGTGGCGAAATTTGTGAAAAGGCACACAGAAATAATGATCTTTCATTTTGAAAAATGTATCTTAACAAGAGTTAATAGAAATAAGATTAAAAATGTAAGTTCGAGAAAATCTGATTAGAAATTGTAGTCTAATTTATACACAAATTTCAGTCTTTCAACAACTAATGATTTTTTAAACACCTGAAATAGTCACTCTACATCATATTTTATAAGTAATTTTTTACTTGCTTATATTTTGCTAGGTATTTATTTTTAAAACTACTATCAAACAAAGAAGTTTTTAGAAGGATTGTAAATAAACACTCCGAAACTCAGATAATATTTGCAGTATTTAAAATAACATTAATATTGTGTTAGAAATATGGCAAATTTTCGAATGCTCTTCGGCACCTTAAACTAAATTGTTTCGGCAAATGTAAAGAAGAGAAATTCACAATACGAGTAATTGAATTTGAGACACGATATACATTTGGATTTAAGGAGCTGCTGATAAACAAAAAAAATAAAAACAGAGCTGGGAGAAATTCACTTTCCGATTGGTAATTGAAAGTTTCGGTGACAAATTCGGAGCTCGGCTTAGAAGCTTACGCGCCAGGTGAATTTCACTTGCTCTCTCCCGCGGAGGAGTCTGCGCCCCATCCAAAAATGCGATCGAGTGGGTCGCCACATGGCTGGCAATGTTTTAATTTGTATCTTTCCATTTCCATTTCCATTTTCATTTCCACCGACTCTGTGTCGCACTCTCACCGGGGCCTAATCTGCAGGTGGATGGTGGATGGGATCGGGATGGGATGGGGATCGAGATCGAGATGGAGATGGTATGGGGGCTTCTCGGCGGAGAGATGGCATAGTGATTGGTTTTGCCTCCGCTAATGATGATTACCCACTTTTACCGGGCACATATAAAAATCAAAAGCGGTTTAACGCGTTTCTCGACTCTCGGACACTTTATGCACTGCCTACAGCTACACTGCAAAAATAGCAAACAAAAATATCAAATTCGCTAAAAGAATCAATCATATTTATTAAAAAAACAATAGCTAAAAATATTGTATTAAGACAAATATTAATATTTATTACTTACAAAATATTTGCCAAGTTAGGCAAAAGTTAAGCCTCAATATTTTAAGTAAACATTTAATTGAAAAGTATTTTAAGCTAAGATTGGTAATGAATAGTAGAAAGGAGGAGACTAGGTGATGAATAAAAAAAAGGTTTATAAAAAAATTCATTAATTTCGATATAAGACCTTTTACAAATATTTTTATAATCAGATACGATTTTAATTACAACAATATCCACAAAGAATACATACACCAAAAATGAGTTGTTAAACAAAATATACCTTTTAATAAATATCGTGATTGTTTGGTGTAGAAGATTCCCAATTTTACCTAAAACACTACCGAATAAATGGTTGTTTTGCCTGGTAATTTCTCCCAGTGCACTCCATACATATATTTCGCCTCTGCACTTCTCGAACGCCTCATTGCGATTCAATTAAAAACGCTTAGCCACCACACAACCCGTTGTGTCGTCGCACCCAAAAGAAAGCCACTTGCTGCCATACAAATCAGTTACTAGAGCTCGGGGCGTGGCTGGAAGTTCGACTTCGACTTCGGCTTCGGCTTCTTCCTTGGCCTTGGCCATATTTATCTCATGATTTCTCCCAAAAAATATATATGTATATAAATATTTGAGCAACAGGTTCCCAGCTGAATTTAATTGCAAATTATCATGTCTCGTATCATGTGTAATTTTTGTGCTGCCTTTTTTTTGTAGTTTTCCATCGCCAAAGAAAAGTGAAATTCCATTTGGCAATTGTTTTGGATGCCTCTCTCTCTCTCCCTCTCCTTCATTTCATGTCAGCGGGTTAGCAGGGATTTGTCAAAAAAAAAAATAAAAGAAATAAACAAAAAACTAAAAGCTGGTGAAATCTCTTGTTGGAAAACGTGCCGAAACTGCATTTATTGGCCCCCCAAATATGCCGGCGCACAAGGTCATTAAATTGTTATCATGGCTTTGGTGTTTTTACAAAGTGTTAAGGCCTGGAATTTAAAGTCTTGAATTTTTGTCACGAGTGCACACTGGCATTTACTTAATTTTGATCTCCCCCAGCAATGCCAAATTGCCGAAGATACATCTTTTAAATAACCTTAGAAAATCACTCAAGAGCTAACGATACGAAAAAGGTTGTTTTTCTTTGGGGGCCCAATAAATTATGCCTCATCATTCTGTAAATGAGGCTCAGCCATTGTTTGACCAAATGCATTACAACCATTTTTATGGAGCAATTTCTTCAGGTAATTGAGGAAATACTGATGGTTTTCGGTGGCCTAGAAGGAAATAAAACGCACCACACCTTGTTATACGTTCATTTGGAAATCTACAGATGAAGATAAGGAGATATAAGGGTTAATTGGGAAATTGGAAATTATCCCAGAAGGGTTTAACCGCAAATGAAGTTATTACTCTAAAAAGATAGAGATTTCCTGTTCACAAATTATGCCATAACACACATAGATCAAATACAAAGAAATATTTCATTGATTAGGCAGTAAGGGAAGTGAAAAATTATTATTCAAAATATAAGGAATGCAAGACATGTTTTAAACATATGCTCTTAAATTAATTAATTATAAATTACAACTCTTCGTTCAGATCTATAAAATAACGATTACAATAAATAACGATTCCTTTCTATTTTTTAATTATTTAAAAATATTTAAAATCAAATCCCATGAGCTGCGACATTCTTCTAAAGTCTCAAGAAATTGAGAATTTAAATGAAGCAATTGGCACAAATATTCGAACATTTACGAAATGAATACTCCATCAACTTTGGATGGTTGTCTCATAAATTGGCCGGCTTAATCGCACTCCATCGGATTAGAACATGAATCAAATTGAGCCGCCGGACCGCAAACAAGTTGACTTCACATTGTCACTTCATCCATCCATCAAACTCAATATCTCGGGCATAGGAAATATCCGAAAACAAGATCGAGAACTGGGCCAAAAGCCAAATCGACACCTTGGCTAAATTTGAGCATTTCCGTTTTGAAAATGCGGATTTCACTCGCCTGACCAAAAGCCCAAGTTAAATGCCAAGTTTTTCATTTTTTCGACTCTTTTCCTTCTTTATTTTTCTTCTCTATTTTTTTTTTATTGTTTTTTTGCAACCACAATCAATGTTGGCCAAGTGTTGGTGGTGGCTGGAAAACTTGTAGAATGCACGACGGCTTTTCAAAAAGTGCTCAATGCTATATCAATAGCACCACAGCCACCGCCAACCAGTGGCAACAACAATAGCGTCTGTACACCTGTCTAAGCCAAAAACAAAAAGAAGTCAGCGGTAACAACAACACGTTGGCCAGGGCCGCAAAGTTGACGCTGCTGCGCCCAAAAACCCAACAACTTTTAATTTCAACACATTCCAGCACAAGACTCCACAATCAAGAGAGTCGCACAGTGGTCCCAATCATCTGCGATCAGCGATCTAATCGAATTCGATCGATAAGATAGTGTGCATAGGGTTCGAAGTAAAGTGCAAGACACACGACTCCTATGATATTTGCACTTGGAACCTATTTATTTGAATAAAATTAGGCGATTGCCAATTATTGCGTAAAATGTTCCCAACTGAAAATTTTTATGTTTTAAGTGTCCATTTACTAATTCCTATTTTTCCAGAAATAAAATGTTAAACAGCTCAACTTTGGATTGCAAAAAAGTATTCTAAAATATTAAGTTTTAAAAACATCTCTCACGCTTATTGTTAAAAAAGTTATAAGGGAATTGTAATATTCCGTTATTCAGAATTAAAATCCAATAATCAATAATATTTAATTTATTTTTTCTTAAAAAAAAAAAACACAATGTTCAAAATTGGAGACTGCAGGAAAGATGATATTTGAAATTAGTTACATGGATGTTTATTGGAAGCTGAACATGAGTAGATCTGCAGAACAGAATCCGCCAGTTTCCACCTCAGATGAATAATTCTCGCAATCCATTGACCCAAGGTGCGATATATGGCAGTGGGTACAACGTTCGTACGCGCGACTTGACTTTCTTTGCGGCGGCCTAAGCCAAAAAACAAGTTCGGGCTCGGCTCCGTTCGGGCCAAGTGCCACACACACTGAGAGAAAAGCTGATATTACACGATCATGACTTTGAAAATATAACATATTATTTTGCAACACAACCATCTTTTTCCATCTTTGGACTTTAATTCAAATATCAAAATAAAGTGAATTAGATTTCAAAGTTCATTTAGTAGGAGGTTGTATTTGAACTCGGAATTTTTTCTACCATTGGCAAATGCTTCCCCATTTTAAAAGTTCAAAAATTTGTTATAATTATATTAAATTGTTATTTATTTTCTCTACCTCCAGATTTTACTATGTATATATAATATTAAAATGATAAAATTATAAAAAAAATAAAAGAAAAAACTATATTTTGTAGAGATGGTATTAGGACTCGAGTTTTTACAGCCCCCCTTAGCCTATTAAGACATCTGATAAAAATCGTTTCCTACTTAGCATAGTGCACACATTATAATGGTATTTGATGTGATTCAGAGCTGAATTTTGTGGCAGTGCAGGGTCTGGGGTCCGAAGTGGCGGGATCGGTGGGGTGGGGGTTACGGCCCGCTCGAGAGCTGTGGGCTCCGAGCGGTTTTGGAGGCAGTCAGCCAAGTCAGTCGATTGCTGGCGGTCGAAGCGTTGAGACGTCTGTTCGCGGTTGAAGCGAAAAACACGCGAGTGAAGCGAACTCTTTTTGTTAACTTTTTTTTGTTCCAACCACTCATAGATACTGAGGTGTGTACTGGTGTGTTCTGGTGTGTGTGTGTGTGTGTGCCAGTGGAGAGAATGGAGACTCTCTCGGCCATTACCGTTAATCAAATAAGTTTTTTAGAAATTTAAACGCTCCACTTCGGCGAGAGTGTGTGCGTGCGTATCTGTGAGAGAGCTTTAAACGGTTCATTGATCGAGTTCAGCTCGGAAATGGAGCAAAAGCGTAGAAAGAATAAATACCAAACGAAAAACAACAAATAACAAACAAAACAAACGAGCAAACAAATAGTGCAAGTGCCAAAGTGTATGTGTGTATGACTGTGTTACCAATTCGCATCGAAAAGACAGCAGCAGAAAATGCGCTTAACCCATTTTATAAGCGGCCACAAATAAACCATACCAAACCGAACCACGCCAAACAACAAAAATGGCAATACAAATCCAATAAATGGCCAAAAAAGGCCAGCAACAAGACACAATTGCTGGCCATCGAAAAGAACACAACACCAAAGCCCAAATGACTCTTTATTTGCATACAAAAAAACAATATCGGTTTATAGCAACACTTTCCAAATAAGACCAAGATCTGCCAAAAAAAGATTCCAAACATTGTGTGAATTCTACAGAAACATGAGTATCAACAAGTCTTTGTAATAAACAAATGCCAAAGAACTTTATTGAACTTTTTTTTTATAAAACTCCAACGAATGCCTTTGGTCTTGGTACTCAATTTAAAATTAAATCCATTTTAGAATGTATCAGCACATCTTAATACGAGAAAATGAATCGATCATAAATATTTTTAAATGTCAAATGATCATTTTTGAAAATTTGCTAAAAATGTAATATTTTTCCTATTTGGTTATCTGGCACTAAAAATGTTCAAGAAAAACTAAACATTATTTAAGAAGAGCTCTATATTTAATTTAAAAGTTTTCATAGCCATTTTGTTAAGTAATTTTTGTAAGTAATAAGATATTCTATTTAAAAGTATAAAACAGTTCTGTAGACAGAAATTCGGAATCTTAGTCAAACTCAGTTCAGAAAATAAAGCACAATGCGGCGAGACGTGAATCTTGTGTTATTATGGACAGATGATTCTACAGATGGCTCGGATATACCATATGAACAAACCCCCAGACAGATACAATCCGGCATAACAAAAGATCTCTTTGCAAATTGTTTATTTGCTGCTTGGCTGATCAGCAAACGGATTGTTTATGCTAATATCTTCAACTGCTGTACGAACATGGGTCTTTCATCACAGTCGCATAAAATGGAAATCTATTTGGGGTTTTATCTTGCGGCTCCAGGGAGTTCCCAACTCCGAACTGGTTTACCGAATATTAAACTATACTTAACTAAATTTAGAACCATGGGGCTCTGCATTTTCGATGTGTGTTGAATACAAAAGTTATAAATATTAATAAGACCATGGAAAATGAAATAATTGGCTACCTTCACATCAAATATTTCAATATATATATATATGCAATTAACAAACAATTCATATACACTGTATATATATATACTTATAATTTAATTATACATTAAATTAAATATATACTAATAATTAAAACAAACATCAGGGGCATTTATATATACAAAAATGACTTCATTTCAGTAAACCATCAAAAATCAATTCTGAAATAGGAAATGTTTTTGAAACAAGTTACGAACACAAGAAATACACAGATAATTACACAAAGCCACAAGATATCCATGACTTAATACATCCACTTCCTGAAATAAACTAACGAATATTGCCAATCGAAACGAATTGAAAATTGTTTACTTCCACAAGTATTTTTCTTCAAGGCTTATTATTATTCCCAAAAGTTGTTAACCAACATTCAAAATCTAACATTTTAATTCCTTATAATTTGTTGCGATTCCAGTGGATGCAAAACAGTCAGAAATCACGTACTGCTGAAATTTCTTATAAAACTTCTGCCAATCTAATGGCTTTCTTACGGGCCACCTGTGTTTATCACATTCTGCCTGCTTGGGTTTTTTGTTATTGTTATGCATTCTCGAATATTTAATATATTTAGATCCGTTTTGAGGTTAATAATATCGTTTGTGGGCAGGCATTTTTTTCGTATATATATATAAATATGTGTTTTTCTGCGAGTTTTGTGTCGTGCATATGTAAATTTTTTAAGCACACAATAAAGAGTCCCTCCTCTGCGGTTTTTATTTGCCTTGTTGTTGAGCTGAATGCATAACTGAAAAAACAAGATTCTTTTGGCCTACGCGGCTGCGAACAACAAGTCGCACAAAATCATCGATTATAAAAGTTATTAGGGGAGAATCTCGTACACAGTATAGTGCACAGAAAACAATTTTAAATATCTTGGATAAATATTTTCATTATTCTTCTCTACATTTTTAATTCCAAACTGAAGCCAAAACTCCAACATATTGGTTTAATAAGCAATAACATCAGAATGATAAACAAACAGGCTTTATTTATCTTTTAAAATACCATATAAAATATATTTAATAAAATATGTAATCCATTGCATTGAAAAATGGTATGCCTCATTTATAATATCGATCTTAGAATATCCAAAAGAGAGATAATATTTTTTTCTGTGCATTTAAATGGCATCCAACACCTGTGTGACGGGTTAATACCGTTTGCTGGTTTGGCCGGTTCGATTTTGGACGGTTTTTTTTTTTTTTGGCCCCAGTTTTGATGTTCCAACACGGATCGTTTTCTGGTTTTCTCGTTTTCTCACAGAATTATGACACATGACGAGATTGCATTTGAATCCATCTGGTTTGCCGTTAGCCACCACTTACAGTGCCTATCGAAAAACAGTTGCCCCGGCAATCGATTTGCATTCCAGTTTTTGTTCAGTCTTTTCGATCGATCAAATTGTAATTTCCCGGTTGAAATGTTTCCTCTTTGACATTAAGATTTTATTTGTGGCGTTATTAATCACACCCCACTGTTGATATATTTTCAAACGTGGGCAACAGAAACTTCTCTTTAATCTAATGAGATTAGGTTTTTTGGGAGTTTTCCGTTAAGACTGAAGTCTTCCGATTTGGGATGGTTTCTTGAAGAAAGCTTAGCTCTGTTAGAAATGACGAAGAATCGAATGATTTTACTTTGCATTTGTTGTTTATTTGATCCAACTGGTTTCCCACCAATGGAATTTAGCACATGTTGACGTTTCGTTACGATCCCTATAAATATTCTTTGATTTAAAGCAGGATTATAATATATTTCATTTTACTTACATTTTCTTTTTTAAAACATCGCTTTATTGATTTTTTTCTTCCAAAAATTCGTTAGCATTTAATAAAGTCTCATGCCTCTCAATACTCGGTCCAGTTTTGCAATTAAAAATGAATTTTAACACCAAAAAATATTTATTTTAAATTTATTGTTTGCTTTATTATAGAATTCAAAGTAAATCACCAGAACTGACTTAATTGATCTGCCTTTTGACGCTTAATTATAAATTTAAATAACCATTTATATCAAACTTAATATAATTTTATAATTAGTAATTTGTAATTATGTTTTTTTGCCTTGACTTGGCTTTTAATACATCTCAGTATACGTAATTGATCTTAACTGTGGCTTATTTGTTAATTTATTGCTCGATTTGAAATATGATTTAAAGATAAACAATAAAAAATACACGTTCTTATATGAATGTAATAAATTTTCTATATCTATCTATCTTTTTTTCAGATGTTCTAAATGCTAATTTGCATTTACACCCAACCATCGACGATAAAACCCTTTTTCGAATAGCTGCCGCATTTTCTTTGAGTGTGCCTGAGTCGCACATTCCGTCCTGAAGATGGCGCTACGCCTGCGTCGCGACGTACAGAAGGCCTCCTATTATGTGTGGTTCCTGGGCGCCGAGGAGGCGAAGGGGCTGCGGGGCGCCCGCGTCATCAACTCGGTGCTCCCGTACCTGGTGGACAGGTCCCGTGGCCAGGAGCCGCTCAAGGTCACGCTCCAGGTGTCCCACAAGGGCATCAAGATTGTCCAGGTGAGCATGGAAATTTAATTAAATAAAATGTCAGTATAATTAATATTATTATAAGCAGCTTTTAAATTTCTGTTTAAGTTTATATTATCTAAAACTATCTCTTGATTTATTATTGATCTTACTTATAAACCTATTTTACGTAAATCTAATGTCTGTTATTTTTGATTATTTTGAAAGAAAGCTATTTCCGAACAAACGTATAGTACAAAATAAAAATAAAAATTGACAAAACATTTTTCATTCAAAAACAAACTTTTGAAAGTCTTATAATTTAATGTGTTACTTACTAATATTAATTTTTGCTAAATACTTTTGTCTATGCTGGTAAAAATACTATTTTATTCTGTTTTACATGCCTTGCATTGTATTATATATTTGAACAGAAACATATGTTATTATTTTTCTTGAATCTCCACATTGTTAACATTTTTGACCGTTTGGAAGACAGAATACTTAATGTTGTTTCAAGTTAAGTGCTTGTCTCACGGGTTTTTTACTAATTTGGGATCCCTGCTGGGTGGCGCACCTATTAATTCTCGTTCTGAAACATCCACAGGGGGCCTCGAAGCATCTGATCCCACACAGTGCCATAACCAGCTCCGTGCAGACGGACGACATCGTCGCCTGCGTGCTGCTGCTCTACAATCCGGCCACCAAGTGTCCGCTCCACGTCCACGCCTACCGCTGCGATTCGGAGACGACGGCGGAGGCACTGCACCTCCAGCTGCAGATCCTCATCAACCGACCCGACAACCAGAAGCGCTTCGAGGAGCTCGAGACCAGGTGGGCACACCCAATTGATTTACCTTTAAAACGAAAGAGTATCGTGAGCCACAAAGAAAGGTGGTCAACCTCTGTTATCAACTTATCCACTCTGGCTGACTTAACCAGCTATATACATGAATGGATTTTCAGGCATATCTTGAACTCTTTGCCTTTAAAACAAAAGAGTACCATAAATTGCAAAAAAAGGTTGTCAACCTTTGTTACCTCTGTTAGCTATATATTAGTAATACATTTCGAAATGAACGTATCAAATCATTCTGAAAACCATATTTTTGGAGTTTTTTAAACACTGTATCATCAGTTTGAGTTCCTAATAAAGAGCTTAACTCTAACATTTTCAAAATCATAAATGTTTCATTGGCGCAAAAAACCAATTGTGCTCGAAATATTAATACCAAGTCGGCTAATATCTATAAAATGTTTGTACTATACTTTAAAATAAAGTTACCTATTCAAATATTACAAGTAAGGATATATATTACATTTTAAATGCAATATTTAGATTTATTTTTTCCAAGCTTTACCATTAGTTACTATTAATTTAAGTATTGTAGTATAGAGTTTGTTGGGCACTTTCAGCTGTAGTTGTAGTTGCAAGTGCTGGTGACTTTTGTTATGCAACGTTTAATTAATTGTGCCGCCAACTTTGGGAGCGAGCAGGAAGCAGAAGCAGTGGCAGCCGGGCCACTTAGTCACTCCATTAGACACATTCACCCAAACACATGACGAGCGATCGTGATAATCGCACTGGCGGGGATGGGGATGATGATGATGATGATGATGATGATGATAATGGGGGCTTGGACTCCCAGCGAGATCCCAGTTGCCCGGTAATTGCAATGGCAATCTCCACTGCCTGCCGCATTCCCACGAAGACAGCCCAACGATTCTGCCAGCGCCCACGCTGCACCCACATCCACATACAAGTCCACATCCACATCCAAGTCCATGACTTTAAATATCTTAAATGCCTCTTCAAGCTCGCTCGATGGCTTCGCGGAAATTCTGTTTTTCTGTTTTCAAAGTTGCCGCCTGACCAAGCTGTCACCATCGATAAACGCTGAAAAGCTGCCAGGCAATGGGGAAAATATTCAGAATTCTGGTAGCTAACGGTCTCTTATTTGAACTTGACCCATGATTAATCATATTTGTGGCTATTACTATTATACTACTATACATACTATTATATTTTATTAAAGTATATATATCCAAATCCAAATTGAATTTTTCTAGATTTTTTTAACTTATAAATATCCAATTGACTTTAACATTAAAAAAAAAGTCGCTAAAAAAATGTCACAAAATATAAAAGATAATTACAATTAAATTGTAAACTTTAAACATTAATTTCACACAATATTTAATTGACGTTTACACTAATAGAAGGTCGCTTAAGAAATTGTAAACAAATATTATTAAGATTTAAAAATAAAATCTTAGCTTAGTTTTTTTAGTGTTTTACAACAAGAAACCTTAAAAATTGTGACAACATATTCAAATGACTTTTGCACTAAAAATAAGTTTCGTAAAAAAATGTAGAAGAATATAATTGCGATTGAAAACTAAAATCTTAACTTAGAGTTCCATGTTTTGGTCAAATAGTGGCTTTCAAAAATTTTTAATATTTAGTTTGTTTAAAATAGATAAAAAAAACTTAAGATGTTACAAAACTTGAATACTCACTGCCTTTTATTTTCCAGGCTGGGAATCCTGCCGCCAATCCCCATGAACGGCGGCAACAACCACAGTGGCGAGAAGCGGCACGAGTCCAATGGGAAGTCGTCGTCCTCCGGGATTGGAGGACCGGGATCGCACCACCACCAGCTGCAGTCACAACAGTCGGGATCGGGGGGATACCAGGGTCGCCGGCACGAGACGTCCTCGCCGAAGCGGTTCAGTAGCTCTCTGGGCAGCGACACCGGGAACAGTACCCGGGAGTCGGAGTGCAGCGAGGAGCACGGCCTGGCCGGCGGATCCTCGCCCGTTTCCCGCTCGCCGCCGCACGGCAAACAGCAGGCACATCCACATCCACATCCCCATGGACACCCCCACCCCCATCCCCACCCACCGCTGCACCACCCCCCGCTGACGCCGCAGCAGAACAGCGACCTCTTCGACTCCCTGGCCGCCGAGCTGAGGGCAAAGTTGAACGGCAACGGACCGCCACTGTTGCTGCCGCCGCGGGACTACGACACGGTGCACCGCTCCAAGGGCAATCTAACGGCCATCGAGCTGAGGCGCTGCCGCAACGCCCTCATTGTGGGCGGATCGCCCAAGGGGCAGGCTCAAGGTCAGGGGGCGGCCAATCCCGCCGCCGGAGCGGCAGCCACCGCCAACGGCAAGCAGGTCTCCTCGCGCGGCTCCTCGGGCATCGGATCCGACTTGGCCCCCAGTCCAGAGCGACAGGAGCTCAACAGTTCCAGCGGTGAGTGGGTCCTAAATATAATAATTAGTAAGACAAATTAGGATCTAACAGGAAAGAAAGCAAGCCGAAGTTTATATACCCTTGCTGCTATTAAAAATATACAAATATAACGACTATATTTCGATTTATTTACAATGAAAATGGTTCGATTTTTCAATATTTTCGATAGTTCTCATGCCAGCTATTATATAGTCTTCCTATTTGTATTTTGCAATATTTTGCAATTGTTTAAAACTTCTAGTTTACGGATAAACTATTAAAAACAACGAATTTATAATATTTTTTTGACCATTTTGTTTTCCGATTTATATACTTTTTTAAAACCGTAGTTCAGGATACTTATCGTACGCATATTAGGATGCCTGAAAATGATTGGCTATAGTCGAAAGTTTCTCTTAATTTTGAAACTTTTTGATAAAACCAATATTTTAATTTATATTAACTCAGTTTAGCCAGAAGCCCATGTCAGCCATAAGCAAAACTTTTAATATAAAAACATATTTTATAAAGAGATAAGTAAAATAGTTACTTCAACGTAAATTTACATACTATGGTAAACCTCTTTTAAATATAAAGTTTTTGAGCTGACACATTGGTTTCTTTATTACCCCATAATGGATAGTAGATAATAAATATTATAGATAATAATAATATAATAAATAATATATATAATTGTAATATAACCTTGATTTCTCACCCATCCAGATGACGAGCACTGGTCGAACGAGGCGGACAACTCGGTGATCGCCCTGAAACCTTCACAAATCGCGATGCCCCATCACGGGCAACTGAAGCGGAAGAGCGCCGTGCAACCGCCGGAGGACAGCTACCTGCGGGATCTGCCGGCCAAACCATATCAGCCGCGTCCCAGCGAGCGGGAGCTGGAGCGGGAAAGGGAGCGGGAACGGGAGAGGGAGCGGGAGCGGGAGCGGGACAGGGAACGTGAACGGAACAAGGAGCGAGAGCGGGAACGGGATCGGGATCGCGATCGAGATCGTGAGCGGACCAAAACGCCAGCTTCCATTTCGAACAAGTCCTGGAGTCGCGAGGATGAGATCAAGCCGATTATAATGCGTCCGGCCGACTACGATGCCAAGTTCAACCGGGTGCTGCAACAGGAGCAACTGCAGCAACAGCAACAGCAGCAGCAGCAGCAGCACTCCGGCAGCAATCAGCAATCCTCCGGCAAGCTGAGGGATTCGGAGAAATACAACGAGATCAACCGGCTGCTGAACAAGAAGCTATCCCACGAGCGGGATCGCAAACCGCGCTCTCGCCTGGAGGACAACCACGATGACTTCGAGGACTCCGATCCGGGCAGTGAGCCACTGCCACTACCAGTGGCACTGCCCCAGATGCACCACCACCATCGCAAGGAGAACCTCACCGACAAGCAGAAGTTCATGGAGTACACCAGCAAGAAGCAGCAGCTGCTCAAGAATTACGGCGGCGAGGATCAGCGGTATCGCCATCGCTATATGGAGCCCTCGGATCTGCCCTTCGAATCCCCGCCAGGTGGTGTTCCGGCAGTGGGTCACAACAAATACGCCGCCGTCCACAGGGGCACGGATTTGGGTCCAAGGGGATCGGATTTGGGGCCCAGAGGATCGGATTTGGGTCCAAGGGGATCGGATTTGGGGCCAAGGGGATCGGATTTGGGTCAGCGGACCACGGAACGGCGGCATGACAGGGATCGGGGCGGAGGTGAACGGGAACCCGATCGGGAGCGGCGAAGGGAGCACGAACGCGATCACTCCCGGGATCGTAATCCCTACAGAGAGGCAGAGAGCCTGCCCTACATCCAGAGCATGGAGAAGATGATGAAGTCCACGGGCATGCGTTACGGCGAGGCCAATCCCAAGACCAGGGAGCGGGAAAGGGAGCGCGAGAGGGATCGCGAACGCGAACGAGACCGTGATCGCGATCGGGATCGTGACTTCAGGGAGCCACCGCCGGCGCAGAACTCGCAGCGGGATCGCTTCCACGACGCCAAGGACAAGTTCCGGGCCATGGAGCAGCGTCCGGCGGTCAACCGGTATCCGGATGTGGATGAACGCGACGCGCCGCACAGGGATCGGGATCCATATCGGTCGTCCTCCCGCCGGCGTCGCGGCTCCGTGGAGCCACCCAGCACCTATGAGCAGTGGAGCGAGGAGGAGGAGCCGCCGGTGGTCAGCGAGAAGCCGAACCAACGCGACCCAAGCCGATCCCGAGCCCGTTCCCGCGGCGATTGGGAGCCGGAGCCGCCACAGCCGCCCAGGCACATGGAGCGATCAGTTCGAGACAGAGAGCGGGACCGAGATCGGGACTTTAATCGGGAGCAATCCCGTGATCCGTATCGCCATGAGAGGGAAAGGGAGAGGGAGAGGGAAAGGGAGAGGCCAGGAGCACGTGCCCATTCCCGGGAATTCCTGCAGGCCGTGGAAACGAAGAATCCCTCGACGGCTGGTTCGGGTCGCGGCCACTTGGAGCGCTATCCCTCGCCCGCTGCCACGCCCAGCAGATCCAATGATGTGGGCGGAGGAGGCGGTGGCGGAGGCGGCAATGGAGTTTCCTCCAGCGGCAACTCCGGCAAGCCACTGGCCCAAATGCCCAAGGGCTATCGACACAGCTACGCAGAGCCCGTGTTCGCCAGATCCGGCGGACGAGTGGGTCTGGCTGCAGTGAATCCCTATTGAGGAGGACTCCTCCGGAACAGGGGTGCTTCTCCGCCAAGTGTTAGGCACCCCGGGACAAAGAGTAAAAACCGTGCAACGAAATCCAAACTAATCGAATGGAGGGAATAGATGGGGTGTCACATAATCTCCAGGGATCTTAAACACTGTTCGTAATGACTACTTACCACACTTAGAAATGGCAATCAAATTTAACCAGTTTTTCAAACTTATAAAAAATCCCTTTACTTAAAAAAGTCAATGAAATGTTAAAAGTTGTATCATGAAAATCAGTAAAGCTAATCCTTCTATTATAGTTTCCACTAAAAATTCGTTTTAAGCGAGGACTAAATATACTCTCTATCACAATTTATTATATTTCCCCATTTGTATTTAAAGACCCCCAAGATTAGAGCTAAAAAACCCATGTAAACATATAGGTTAAGAAAGAATCACAGTGGCAACTGCTTATGACGACTCCCAAACTCTCGATAAACAAAGTCATTGTAAGTACTTTGCTAACAATCATGTATAATCCATATACTCAATTGCTATAGCAAAATTTGCCCTCTCATGCGAGATATATATCCATCCATTCCTGCCCCGACTTAATACGCGCCTTAAATGGGGCCGTTGGGGATTCGAGATCGGACCGAAAAAAGGCCCAGCCCCTGTAATTATGTGCCTTCAGAGAAAGAAATCGTGTTTTTATTATATGCATAATACTGAATTAGTCTACGATTATATATATATACGAATCTAATGTTATCAAAAAGCCAACGAAACAAGAAGCGGATTGGATTTCTTACCATTTTTTTTTTTTGTTTTTTTGATACCTTAAGTTGCGCGGTTGGTTGAAGTTACACATTTTTTTTGCTATGCAGTTCACATATGTCACTATATCTGATATCTGTAAGCATATAATATAGATAAATATACTACATAAAAATATACAGCTAATGTATCTATTGTTATCAACTTGATATTTGCATTAATAAAGCGCTAGTAAAAAATGCACATGATCGTTTTACTTTTAGAAAATAAATAGTATTTACTCTCAGTGACAGTTTTAAAAACTATTAAAACTATTACTATTAATAATGGGTCTATGGTAGTTATATACAGTGACAAACTTAATTATTGGCACAGCAAGCATGTTAAACTTTGAGGCTATTTTTCTTCTTATAATATGCTGATATTAAAATAAAACAAAATATTTTTAGATAGAATCATTCATTTTATGTTAAATACAAGTGACTTCATTAATTTATCTTTTATAAATAATTTATTAAAAATAAAAAACCAAAGAATGGACCAAATTTGCCTGAACAAAATTATTGACACACTTGGGTTTTAATTAACTATTTTGTTAAAACTTTATCGATTTGGCCACTTTTTTTTTAATTATCACATTTGCCTCTATAATCTTAATGGTATAATGATTAATTTTATAGCTAAAATTGTTTTAGTGCCTTGAAATAAAGGAAAAGTTGGTTGACTTTACAAGGTAAAAATAAAATCAACCGCATGTGTCCAAAAATTAAAATTTAATAAGCAGGATCAATGCAAATCAAAAGTCAACATTGGGGAAAGGATGCCCAGAAGCCATTTTTCCCATTCGGAGTCCTTTGCTACATTTTAAAGGACCCACGCAGTTGCAAAATGCAGGGCACACTGGCTAATCCATGGCTTTGAGAGGCCAGGAAAGCGTAAGGATCGTATAAAAGGACAATGTCAACCCCCAGATCTTCTCAACACGTATCGAAGTTGATGATAAGAAGGACTTTGGTAAGGATATTCATCCAACAGCCTTTTTTTTAGGCCCTGCATGATGGTTTCTACAAACGAATTGCTCCTAGAAAAAATCCATCGGCTTGAAAAGGGTTCTAACATAAGCTCTTTGCTTGGGGAAAGGATAATTAAATCATACGAGAAGGTTGAAAGGACCCAAAAGTCGATTGACATACTCAGATATAAATTTCGCTGCACTAAAAGGTTGTTTTTGACTTTTAAAATCTATTGATTTTTTCTATGTTCAATTCGTTTGTAGAAACCATCATGCAGGGCCTAAAAAAAGGCTGTTGGATGAATATCCTTACCAAAGTCCTTCTTATCATCAACTTCGATACGTGTTGAGAAGATCTGGGGGTTGACATTGTCCTTTTATACGATCCTTACGCTTTCCTGGCCTCTCAAAGCCATGGATTAGCCAGTGTGCCCTGCATTTTGCAACTGCGTGGGTCCTTTAAAATGTAGCAAAGGACTCCGAATGGGAAAAATGGCTTCTGGGCATCCTTTCCCCAATGTTGACTTTTGATTTGCATTGATCCTGCTTATTAAATTTTAATTTTTGGACACATGCGGTTGATTTTATTTTTACCTTGTAAAGTCAACCAACTTTTCCTTTATTTTAAGGCACTAAAACAATTTTAGCTATAAAATTAATCATTATACCATTAAGATTATAGAGGCAAATGTGATAATTAAAAAAAAAGTGGCCAAATCGATAAAGTTTTAACAAAATAGTTAATTAAAACCCAAGTGTGTCAATAATTTTGTTCAGGCAAATTTGGTCCATTCTTTGGTTTTTTATTTTTAATAAATTATTTATAAAAGATAAATTAATGAAGTCACTTGTATTTAACATAAAATGAATGATTCTATCTAAAAATATTTTGTTTTATTTTAATATCAGCATATTATAAGAAGAAAAATAGCCTCAAAGTTTAACATGCTTGCTGTGCCAATAATTAAGTTTGTCACTGTATGTAGTTATAAAAGTTATGTTGCCTACATATACTTTTGACATTTGATTTGTATGTAAAAATAAGATCAATGTAAAATCAGGCTCCCACAAATTCTACTTTACATGTTTATTACATCTTGAAAGTCAAGAATCAGAATTGTTGAAATGGCTTTACAAAAAAAACTATTTGATGGATCGACAAAAACGGTGTTTTTTGTTTTACATTTTTATTGTTTAATTGAAAAACTTTTTGTTTTTTATAAAATTCTTTTCTTTTTAACAAAAATACATTAAAGAAAAATATTGATCTGGCCGTCAGCTTAAGCATAACTTTACATGTTCTGGAACTGATCGACAAGACGCATTGTGTTACCCTGGCGAATCTCGCGGAGCATATTGTACTTGTCAAGTCCCTGGCGCACGTTCTCGCGATGGATCTTGTCGTTGGCCGTCTCTTTTGTCTCGTCGAAAGAGACAGACTTTTTCAGGGCCTGCAAACATGAACATAATTAGTATTCTATAGCTTAAAGTTTCAACATATCAGAGAACTTTTTCTAACTATGGTACCGGAAAAATAAACATCCTTATGAAAACACTCTAATAAATTGTTCTTAGATGAAGTACAAAATTCCATTTGAACGCACCCTGAGCTGATCGTGCAAGCGCTCGTTGCGCTCCACCAGTGAGCGTCTGTCCTCGATGGGGTCCTTGATGTGCTCGACGGTCTCCAAGTCGTGCGACACTTCGCCGTTGGTCAGCTCGTCCTCGTCCTCGTCTTCAGCCACGTGATGGTGCTGCGGCGTTGTCGTCACAGCCATTTTCTCCTCCTGCATCTGCTTCAGCCGATCCTCGTACTCCTTCTGTTTTTGTTTAGCGCGTTCGCAGGCAGTCAGCGCCAGCTGCAGCTTCTTACTAAAATAAAATATAAATAATTTATGAAAACTATTTGGACTCCTTAGGGTAAAGTCTATGAAGCCTTACTAACCGCTCCTGCTGTTTAAAATTCTTCTCCTCGCGCGCCTGCACCTTCATCTGCTGCACGTCGATGGTGTCCGGCTTGCGGCGACGCAAGTACAGCTCGTGGTTGCCCATGCAGAGGGCCAGGATGCGCATGTTGACGCGGGCGCACGGCGCATAGAACATAAGGTCCGGCGCCTTTTTGTCGATCGGCTTGATGGTTAACTTCTTCGAAAAGAAGGAGATGCTACGGACCTCGGACCACAGGATGCAGATCTTCGGCGACAGCTTGTCGTCCTTCAGGTAAATGTTCAGACAAAACGCGTCCACGCCCAGCCAGAGATCCGTGCCCTTCTTATTGCTGATCTCAAAGTAGTTTACGCCATACATCTCCAGATCCTGGGCAATCTTCAGATACTCCATCATGGCGTCCTCGCGCAGCATGTTTCGGTGCTCCTGCCACCAGGTCATGATCGACTGCTCCCACTCGTCCTTGGACATCTCGATCTGGTCGATGACACGCTGCGGCAGCAGCCGATCGTTGGCCAGGAATCCGGCTGTGTGGGTGGTCTTATTGTGGTCACCGTGACGCGCCTGCACCGCGTACGAGGCGAGCAGCACGGATGTCTCCGGCGGACAGTAGATCTCGTCAGTCAGTATGGCATTCTTCACCTGCAGGTAGAACAGGCTCAGGGTAATGTCCTGGATCAGCTCTTCGGCCACGTCCTCGGGATAGAATTTGGCACGGAATCTGAACTGCAAGGGGTTCTCCTTCTTCACGTCCTGGTTCATCACCTATCAAAAGGAAAAAAAACTTTTAGATTCCATATTTCTAAGGAAATTCGATTGCCTTACCTTGTCGCAAAGCTTCATCCATGTGGACTCGTTGTTTGAGTCGGTGTACTGGAGTCCGAAGAACCAAACCTCTCGCAGGCCGATCGTCGTCACCACCTGGTCAAACAATTGTTTGCCCGTCGCCGTCGACTGGATCGCGAACTCCAGTACCGCGTCCGCCGTCGTGACCCGAACATTTATCTGAAAAAATAGAGATAATTAGAATGGAATGTCAAGAGTTTCGTTTAAATGGAATAATCCATATTTACTTAGTATTCACAGTATACAATAGTAAAATAAAACAGAGTTATGTGTAATATTAACGAAATATTTTAAACTCCTTATCTTAAGCAGAGAATTCTGTTCTTTTTATTTAAAGAATTTTATTCTGTTAATCAAATAATTTATAGTAGCAGTTTATGTAGAATTGTATAGGGTTCCTGAAAATCTGGCTTATATTAAGTGGTGGCTTATATTTGCGCTTTTTTAAACTAATTAAACAATAAATAAAACACTTTTCTTTTATAATAACTTTATCAGTTATCAGTACATAAAATATATATTTCTGCTGCTGCATACACACATGTATAAATAAAAATGTACAATCTTTACTTACCGCTTTTGGAGACATTTTTTGCTTCCAGTTTTTCTTAGTTCTCGAAACGAAATTTTTTCTTTTTGGGGGTTATTTCGTCTTTGCTCTTCGTTATTTTTGTCCTTCACCAACGAAATCCAAAGTGAACTGAGGGCGCACACCGTCAATACAAGGGCTTTATAGCTCTTATTTTTCTGTTTTTCAAAAGAACTGAGTCGATGATTAACAGTAAAGCCGAAAATAATAGCGGCTAGTTAAGATAAAAGCCAGTGCTGCGATAAGTCATTCAAAAATGCCCTTTTCTTTTGACTTAGCTGTCAAGTGCTATGTAATATGAACATTCATACATATTTACATCAGCACAACGTCAAACTTCTTGGATTAAACCAACACCAAAATGAAATTATCGCGTTTATGAAAGAGCAAAGAAATGTATAATTGTTTTACAGCTGATAAAGTAGTGTGAGTATCCAATGCTTACGTTACTCTTGGATACGAAACTGAAAACTCCATTATCATAATGCACTGGAACATTTTTAATTTTAAGAATGAATTCTAAAAACAATTTCTTTTTGTTCTCTTATCCAAATCTCTCGGCTACGCAGAGCCCTTGTTCGCCAGATCCCGCCGAAGAGTGAGTTAATCTCTATTGAGGAGGACTCCTCCGGAACGGAGGTGCTTCTTTTCTAAACTAATCAAATGGAGAAAATAGATGGGATGTTCTTAATTACAAGATTTTAAAATATTGAATCAATACTGAAAATCCTTATACTCAACAAACTGATTACCATGAATAACTAGTTTATGTGTACTTTATAACGCTAAAATCTCTATAAAACATTTTAAAATTCTACATCTTATTTTGACATTTGATTTGTATGTAAAAAGAAAAACAATGTAAGATACATAACAAAAAACTTCCAGTAATTTTACTCTACATGTTCATTACATGTCGAAAGTCAATTGTCAATATTTTTGAAACGGCTTTTCAAAAAAACTATTTGAATGATCTACAAAGACGGTGTTTTTTTTTGTTTTACATTTTTATTGTTTAATTTAAAAACTTTTTGTTTGGTTTTTTCACAATAGTTTTTGTTGTTTGTTTTCTCATTTTTTTTAAAAATCTTTTTTTTTTCAAAACAAAAATAGATTAAAGAAAAATATTTTATATAATATATTTTTTCTCTTTTTGTTTGTTGCTCTCTCTCAAGTTATTTTAAGAAACAATTAATCAAGTTCTTATTTAATTATACAAATTTAAAAAAAAATAGTAATTATATAATAATAAAAATAATAATTATAACGGGGGAAAATGCAAATAGTTTTTTGTTTTGTTGTAGTAGCTGTTTTTGTTGCTTTTGTTGTTGTCGATTTTCAATATCTATTACTATTCGTTCCGTTTTCTCTATGAATCCATTGGGAAAAGGAGAAATGTATATTTTCTATTGTTTCTGTTTGTATTTTGATATATTTTCCGATAGCTTGATCCTTTCATTTGCTGATTGTCCTTATAGATGTTGGTCCTGGCCGTATTTGTCGTTTATACACTTTATATTAATATTGGTGAGTGTGTCTGGCTGAATTTTTCTCGATTTTTACTTGATTCTTCTATACAAGCTCGGAGACAAAAAGCGGCGGTCAAACAAAGTTTATGTCCATTAAACTGGTGGATCTCTTCAATTCATTAGGAGGCAGGAAGTTCTTGCGGGTGGAAAAGGGACGTCGCTGGGGTGATAGTAGCAATAGGCTTTGCCAGCGACCGGAATTATATTTGTTGCTTCTTCATCTTCATCATTATCATCATTATCTTCTCTTGTTGTAGTTATATCTTTATCTTTTTCTTTCTGGAGACTCGGCTCCCTCCCTCTCTCTTTCTCTCTCGCGCGGGCGCTCTATATACGTCTCGCTCTCTCGATCTGGCCGCCAGCTTTAGTATAGCTTTACATGTTCTCGAACTGATCGACACGACGCTTTGTGTTACCCTTGCGGATCTCACGGAGCGTCTTGTACTTGTCACGTCCCTGGCGCACGTTCTCGCGATGGATCTTGTCGTTTGCCGTCTCTTTCGTCTCGTCGCGCGACTGCGCCAGATCCTGTTTCAGGGCCTGGAAAAGGGTATTATTTTATTATTATTTGGACTACAAACAATGGTCAACTCTTATTTACAAGCTCTACTTTTTTAGTTAAAGAAATTAAAAGGTTATATTTTGAACGCACCTTGAGCTGATCGTGCAAGCGCTCGTTGCGCTCGGCCAGCGTGCGTCTGTCCTCGATGGGGTCCTTGATATGCTCGTCGGTGTCCAAGTCGCGCGACACATCGCCGCCGGCATCGCCATTCGTCAGCTCCTCCTCGTTCTCGTTCTCATCCTCAGCCACGTGATGGTGCTGCGGCGTTGTCGACGCAGCCAGCAGAGCGGCGGCGGCTTCGGCCTAAAAATGGGAACATTCGTTATAGAGGTCATCGTCAAATTGGGCAGGAATAATTAATTAGTTCAATTAGTTTTTGAAAGCTAATTAATGTTCAAAATTATACCGCAATGACCTGCTTGCGTCGGGCGTCTTCCACCTCGTCCTGCAGGCGCTTGGTCTCCTCGTCCTTGGCGTTAACCTCGTCTTGGATGCGCTGCACCTCCATCTGCTTGGCCATGATCTCCTCCTCGAGCTTAAGCTTCTCAACGGCCTCCATATTCTTGGCCTCCTCGAGGCGCTGCAGCATTGCCTGCAGCTCCTTCTGGCGCAGCTCCAACTCATCCTTGGCGGCCTGCAGCTGCTTCAGCTGCTCCTCCAGCCGGCGGATCATGTCCTGGGCCTCGAGCAGGTCGCGCTGCGAGCGCTCCATATCCTCCTGCATCTGCTTGAGCCGATCCTCGTACTCCTGCTGCTTCTTTTCAGCGCGTTCGCGAGCGGCCAGCGCCAGCTGCAGCTTCTCACTGAAATACAAAAAAAAAAGCATTTATCAATACTGAGTCTTTTGTTTTAAACGATTTTAATTTCATAAGGAAAAGCCAAGAAAGGTTTACTAACCGCTCCTGCTGTTTGGCATTCTTCTCCTCGCGCGCCTGCGCCTTCATCTGCTGCACGTCGATGGTGTCCGGCTTGCGGCGACGCATGTACAGCTCGTGGTTGCCCATGCAGAGGGCCAGGATGCGTTTGTTGATGCGGACGCGCGGCGCAAAGAACATAAAGTCCGGCGCTTTCTTGTCGATCGGCTTGATGATGAACTTCTTCTCCGAAAAGGAGATGTTGCGGATCTCGGACCATGGGAAACCAATCTTCGGCGTCAGCCTGTCGTCCTGCTCGTAAATGTTCAGACCCAATGCGTCCACGCCCAGCCAGAGATCCGTGCCCTTCTTGTTGCGGATCTCAAAGTAGTTTACGCCGTACATCTCCAGATCCTGGGCAATCTTCAGATACTCCATCATGGCGTCCTCGCGCAGCATGCTGTGGTGCTCCTGCCACCAGGTCATGATCGACTGCTCCCACTCGTCCTTGGACATCTTGTGCTGGTCGATGACGCGCTGCGGCAGCAGCCGATCGTTGGCCAGGAATCCGGCTGTGTGGGTGGTCTTATTGTGGTCACCGTGACGCGCCTGCACCGCGTACGAGGCGAGCAGCACGGATGTCTCCGGCGGACAGTAGATCTCGTCGGTCAGTATGGCATTCTTCACCTGCAGGTAGAACAGGCGCAGGGTAATGTCCTGGATCAGCTCTTCGGCCACGTCCTCGGGATAGAATTTGGCACGGAATCTGAACTGCAAGGGGTTCTCCTTCTTCACGTCCTGGTTCATCACCTGTGAAAAGGAAAATATATGCATTGAAAACTATGAACATATTGAACGATTTTTTCTAAATTACAGTCCAACTTTACCAACTATAATTCAATAAATGTACAATTAAATTTGAAATACTCAATTCTACGAATATTGAATTTTAGCCAAAAAAAAAGCTCGACTGTATTTTCATTTTATACGGAAATAAAAAATTATTCTTTTTCCTAATTAAAGAAATATATGAACTAAAAATACGTAGTTCTAATTATATTAGAAGTGCATTTGTCTGAGTTTTACCCATGTCGAAAACGGCATTGATCCAGTCTTTGTTTTTTGTGGTGCAGCATTTAATTAGAGATAACATTTGTTAGTTGATTAAATCTCCAAATCACTTATTAACTTAGACTAAGTCTGAAAGCAAGCAAACTATAACAAATGCTAGTTTACAGGAAATTTTAGAGGTATATCTAGATATAACTAGCTGAGCCACAATCATTGGGGTTGTAAGAAATGTTGGTCTATCTAGCGGGGTCTTTATTTTGGGGGAATTGCTTGTAGATAAGAGTTTTCGATCTGTTCCCACCATATCATCGGCGTCGTCGTCCTCTTCGCTTGTCTCCGCCTGATTTACTCCATTGCTGTCGGCTGTCTTTTTGTCCACATACTTCTTTACACGCTTTAAATATTTTATGGTCTTTATGGCCGGCGATTCAGGCTATATTTAGACCATACATTATATATATAAAAACTATTCACATGCATCTTATTAAATATTATTTAGTACAGTACAACGGTTTCATTGTATTAGAAACCACTTTCTTCATTCATTCAAGAAAGCATAGTTTCTAAAGTAATATTTTCTAACATGTCAATTGCCAATTCTTATTTCTTATTTCATGGGGAATTCGATTGCCTTACCTTTTTGTACAGCTTGATCCATGTGGAGTCGCCCTTTGAGTCGGTGTACTGGAGTCCGAAGAACCAAACCTCCCGCAGGCCGATCGTCTTCACCACCTGGTCAAACAATTGTTTGCCCGTCGTCGTCGACTGGATCGCGAACTCCAGTTCCGCGTCCATCGTCGTGACCCGCACATTTAGCTAAAAAAAAAATAGAGATAAATATTATGCTTATTAAAATGGAATGCGAAGAATTTCCTTTAAATGAAATAATCTTTATTTTTGAAGAGGAAATACAAAAAAAATATTGACGATAATACAAAAAAAGAGAGAAAAAAGACTGCGTAGTGTTTAACAGAATTATTAGAAGATTATTCCGTTTCACATGTTCACAAATGTTATTTATTCAAAAGAATGTTAAAAAGATATGCACAAATTCTAAGTGCATTTATAATATTTAATACGTGTATGTTTGGTGGTTTAGTTTACAAGACCAACAT